GGTTCAGGACGAAAAGCCTTGGTATTATGACATCTGGAACTTCTTGGCGAAGGAAATGTATCCACCGGAGGCAAACGCCAAGGATAAAAGGGCAATCAGAAGAATGGCCATTCAGTTCATCATCTGCGGGGGTAAGTTGTATAAGAGAGGTCATCTAGGAATGCATAAGCTGTGTGTAGAAGCTGAGGAATTAAAGCGCCTGATGGAGGCCATCCACGAAGGAGAATGTGGGGCACATATGAATGGGGTAATGCTAGCGCGGAAGATCCTCAGACAGGGTTACTACTGGTCCACAAATGCCAGATCCATGCAAATCGCAAGAACATTCCGCGCCGTTGAAGCTGTACAATATGACTTTGCCATGGCCATTTTCAGTTTGGGGAATCGATGTGATCGGGGCTGTTACTCCGAAAGGGTCGAATGGGCATGAGTTTATCCTGGTCGCGATAGATTACGTTACGAAGTGGGTCGAGGCGCAATCTTATGCGGTGTTGAAGGCTTCACATGTTGCGAAACTCATCAGAAATAACATCATCTGCCGCTATGGTGTCCCAAACGAGATTATTTCAGACAATGGTTCCGATTTCAAGAAGGAGGTGATTGATTTGTTAAAGAAATACAATGTGGCTTGTCATAAGTCATCCACATACCGGCCGCAGACCAACAGAGCAGTTGTGGCCGCCAACAAGAACATCAAGCACATACTGTAGAAGATGATGGAAACCTACCGAGACTGGCCAGATAAGTTGCCGTTTTCTCTATGGGGATACCAGACTTCAATTAGAACTTCTACTGGGGCGACTCCGTATTCACTAGTCTATGGGATGGAGGCCGTTCTACCTATCGAAATTGAGGTTCCGTCATTACGAGTATTGGCTGAGTGTCAAATAGCCAAAGCGGATTGGCAGCAGAGCAGATTCGAGGAACTCATGCTCTTTGATGAGAGAAGACTAAAAGCATTGTACCATGTTCAAGGTTATCAGTGCAGAATTGCCCGGGCTTTCAACAAGAAGGTTAAGTCCAGGAATTTGAAAGTAGGAGATCTGGTACTTAAGGATAATCGAGCTCCCATCCATGACCCAAGGGGCAAGTTCAGACCCAATTGGACTGGTCCCTACATCATTAAGTCTATTTGGTCGGGTGGAGCTGTCGTTCTGATGGACCTAGATGGCCTAGAGTTCTCCCAACCGATCAACATGGACAAATTGAAGAAATATTACCCCTGAGAGGCTCGCTACACCAAAAACCCGAAAGGACGACCTAGGCAAAAGTTAGAGCACGGAAAATTAAAAAATATAAAAACTGAGCTCGCAAAGTTGAAAACCCGCAAAGGGCGACCTTGGCAAAAGTTAGAGCGTAAAAGGAGAGCGAAAATACTCGAGTGAACCCAAGCCTGAACTACGTAAGGCTTGATTCCCATCTTTGGGAAACGTAGGCAGCTTCGTCCTGAAGTTCAGCCATAAACCTTTCCTCGATCAGCTTTGTCCATTTGATCGTCTTGGGCCATCTTTGTGTATTTAGCATCCAAGAGCTCAGTTATGATCTCTGATGCAGTGCTTGGCAGACTAGGGGCAACTTTCCAGTTATTGGGATTCGGGGTTTGTGTATCTCAGTGACAGATCCCAGGCGTGTCCAGTTCTGATCCATATCGAAAATATTTTTGAAAACTTTTCATAAAAGTTGACTTTGTTCAAATTAATCTTTTTACAACTAAGACCATCTCTGGACCAAAATGGAAAATTTTCAGTACCACAACCTTCAAGTTCATTGATTTTAGTACAGAGTCCTCCTGCTCTTGCATACAAATTGAAGTTGCTTTTTATTACATTCATAAGGAAAACTTGAAAGTACTAAATAAAACAATAAATCCGGGGCATAGTCAAGTCAGGTGTTCCTGCGCCCCCTCCCAGAGCTGGTCGAAACCCCCGGTGCCAAGCTGGGCCCGATCTGTGCCTCCTCATTAAGCCAATCTATGCACTCATCAGACAAAGTACAACTGAAAGTAGGAGCGGGGGCCAGGAGTTCTCTTGTCCTCCACGCTGTGGCCTGCCGAACAAGCTGCGCACCTCGAAACAGAAAGGCAGCAGGATATTCTATCCCCTCTGAGGGGCAAATCTGGTCATGGCCGAACTGGCGTC